CGCTCCAGCGATCCTTCTGCCTCAGCCTTCCAAGTAGCTGGAATTACAGGCATGCGCTACCATGCCTGACTAATTTTTTGACTTATTGTAGAGATGAGATCTCGCTGCCCAGGTGGGTCTCGAACCGGCGGGCTCAGACAATCCACTCACCTCAGCCTCCCAAAGGCGTGGGATTACAGGCTGAGCCACCAAGCCCAGCTGCAGGTCACTTTTAAATAAATGATTTCAAAGTAATTTATCTATATATATAAATATCAGTTCCTGACTTAGTTATAGTGAATGTTTTCAAGCTGGATCCTTTATGTCTTTTTGACATGTCTTTATAAATTTGTTAGTACTTCCTTACAGTCTGGGTGAACAAGATGCTTCAGGCTTTGATTTTCCTTGCCCCAGCCTTGAAATCAGCCATTTTTCCAAAAAGTCCCAATTCTTTTTAGTGGAGGATGGTATTTAGAAATCAAGACAGTGTTAGGTATACTTACTGCTAGCAGTATGTCCTTGCTTCTAGGCCCTTTCACCGTGTATAAGTGCACACTCATATGGGCACATGTTTGAAATCATGATTTGTAACTACAGCTCCAGTTCCAGTCCAAGACTATAGAAAGGAATACTGGTGGTACCGTAGGACTCAAAGGAAAACACAACCAGCTGACATATCCTGAGACTCTATCCAGTAGCAGAAGGCACTTGGAATGTGGGTCCAGTGAAATGTTTCCAACCTCTAGGTTTGTTATCTACTATCCCCCACCAAGGAGACTGCCTAGGTAGGCAGCACCACAGGGATCACACAGGATCCCTGCCAACACTAGGCAGACCAGGAAAGAGCTCTCTGCATTCTGGTGACACAACTTGGTAAGTGCATTCTTCCCCATGGGCAGAATTAAGATTGACAATTGAGTCCCCATGGAGACTGAGATTGAGCACTAGGCACCAGATAAATTCAGCTCACCAAAGTACATTGCAAAGGCTCTGAAAACTAAATTGCCTTTGTAATATAGTTTACAAAATAGGCCAGGACTTTGTATGCTAAATCTAAACAACATGACTGTCTGCTAAAATAGAATATTAAAATGGCATATCCACAGCCTCTAAAATAGTATCCAAAATGTACTGACACAATAGAAAAACCACTCATTATTGCAAAAATGAAGAAAATAACATCTTGAATGAGAAAAGACAATCAGCAGATGTCAACACTGAGATGAATAGGATGTTGGGATTATTTGACAAGGGTTTTAAAGCAGTCATCATATACGTACCTTAGTGAGCAATGTTAAATACTCTGGAAGGTAATGAAAAGATTGCAAAATCTCACCAAAGAAATAGAAACTTTTTTTTGGTTTAAAAAAAGGAAAAACTTGGGAATTATAGTACTAAGAAATACAATAGCTGAAATGAAAAAAAAAAAAAAAAACTCAGTAAATGAGCTTGATAGCAGAATGAATATGACAGAGGAAGCAATCAGCGTATTTTAAAATAGAACAATAAAAATCACCCAATATAAATTGAGAGAAAAATAGACAGGAAAAAAATGACAGCGACCTGGGGACCTGTGGTACAATAAGAAAAACCTATTATTTGTATCATCAAAATTTCAGAAGGAATAGAAAAAGAGAGTAAAGCTGAAAAGTATTTGGAGCAGTAATAGCTAAAAACTTCCCAAATTTGCCAAAAGACATAAACTTATAGAATAAAGAAACTGAAGAATTTCAGAGTATGAAAAACCCAATGAAGCCCATGCCAAAATATATCATAATTAAACTTTGAAAACTGAAGGATAAACAAAACTCTTGAAAGCAGGCAGAGAAAAGACACATTACCCATAGGGTAAAACTGAATTGAATTACAGCAGACTCCTTATGTGAAACTATCAAGGCCACAACATTTGTCAAGATAAATTATAGGTCTTATGAAAGTTTCCTTTTGGAATGAAGGGGAAAAAAATACATTCTCACATCAGGGAAAACTAAGAGAATTTGTTGCTTGTGGAGATGCCCGTAAAAAATGGTTAATTGAGCCGGGCTCAGTGGCTTAGCCTGTAATCCCGCGCCTTGGGAGGCTGAGGTGAGTGGATTTCTGAGCCTGAGGGTTCGAGACCCCCCTGGGCAACTTGGCAACACCTCATCTCTACAATAAATCAAAAAAAATTAGCCGACGTGGTAGCGCGTGCCTGTAGTTCTAGCTACTTGAAAGGCTGAGGCAGCAGGATCGCCGGCGCCCAGCAGGTCAAGGCTGCAGTGGCCGGGAGTGGCCACTACACTCCAGTCTGGACGACAGTGAGACTCCAACTCGAAAAGAAAAGAAAAAAAGAAATTATGTAAAAAGAAAAAAAAATGGTTAATTGAAGTTCTTGAAACAAAAAGGAAATAATGAAAAAAGAATTGTAGAATGTAAGAAAGAAATATAAAACAACAAAATGAATACACATAGGGGTAAATATAATAGACTATTCTTATGACTATTTCCTCTCGTTCTGTTTTTGGCTTGTTTTGTTATTCTTTATCTAGACTTTTGAGTCAAGGATTCAATTCATTTAATTTTGCAAGCTTTTGAGGTCATGAATTTTCTTTTGATTATTGTTTTAAATGTCTTTCTTAGTTTCTAAAATGTAAATCTTATTTGCCTGTACACTATTGTCAACATTTTATTAAATGAATCTGAATCTGTTTTTGTTTATTTTTTTCCTCTGTATAGCATAGGTTGGGTCTTGCTTTGCTTTGTGAGATAATTTGAAATTCTTTGTCATAAATTTTGTTTGTATTTTATTGTACGTACTTTGATTCTATGTATGATTCTATTTCATTTTAAACTTTCTGTTTATATTTAGGCAGGTTTTTAACTTTATATTTAGACAGGTTAATATTATTTCCTCAATCATTGCATATTTATAACTATTTTTCTATAACCTTTATACTTTAATGACAGATTGACTGGATATAAAATCTTTGGACCTCACTTTCTTAAATTTCTTGAAAATACTTCTACGTTGTTGCCTTGATCTGTTATGTTTCTTTTAATGTGTCTTATGCTAGCAAAATTCTTTTGCCCTTATAAGTGATCTGAGAAGTTTTTCTTCATTTTTAATAGTTTTACTCTAGAAGATGTCTTGAGTTAGTTTACATCTTGATATCTTGAGTTAGTTAGTTACATCAGATTAATTTTTCCAGTACCTAGTGGGTCCTTTCCAAATGCAGATTCAGATTTTTTTTTATTCCTGGAAAAATTTTGGATTATAATTTAAATAGTTCTGTTTCATTACTTTGTTTTTCTTCCTCATGGACTCCAGTTCTAAGTATGTGCCTGTCTTCTGACCCTTTTTACTTCTTTCTCTGATTTCATTTTTTTTGTGTGGTTGTTTTAATGACTTCAAGTGCCTTCCTTAAATTTTTATCTGAATTCTTCTCCGCTAATCATCTTGCAATTTAGTCTTTATTTTTTTATAATTTCTTTTTCTTTCATTACTTTTCTGTGTTTGGTTTCTTTCTGCTTTTTTCTATTTCTGTTTTTAGTTTTTTAATTTCTCATTTAAGTTTCTTTTAAAAAATATTTCTGAATGTCTGAGAATATTTAATTCATCTTTTAAATCAGCATTGTCATTTTTTTCTGCTTTGAGACATTTTATCATTCAGTGGAATGGATTTAATCAACTGAAATATTTGTGTACCATTTTTGTATATCTTAATCTTATATAAACTTTGTATAGATATATAGACATCTTTCGTTTACTTTTTTTGTGAACAGGTTTGGTGTTTTCTAGTCCAAGTACACTTTCTTCTGTCAATGTAGCATAGTGTGGTTTTTTTCAAAGAATAATTTATGCGTCTTTTTCTGTGATGCCAGCAGTGACTGGTTGTCTTTTAATTTTTTGCTTTTCATCTGTCCTGCTGAATGCTAAATTTTCCTTACTTGCTCTCCTTTCTTTCCAAAAGTGATGCCTTTCTGACATCAATGCTTTTGAATCAGCACACTCATAGGTCCCTGCTTTGATTCCATTCACCAATCTACCCAGGCTCTTTTTATACTTAAGGTAGACTTTTCTATGTCTCAGGTTATTTAAATTCAGTTTTGGAGCACTCACTTTCCTCTTCTTTCTTCTCTATAGTTTTAAGGGTCAGCCTTCATTCTCTGCAAAGGCTTAGGTTGGGAATTTGTGGTATAACTTGTATTTGTTACTTCCTTTTCTATTTACAGGTAGCTGGAATTTTTTTTTAACTGCTATCTGTTTTCTATTTATATGGTTGTATTGTTCTAATTGTTGGTTGATATTGGAGAGGTTTGGATTTAGGCTGCTATAATTTTCCTCAGGCTACCCAGAAGTCCACATTTGTTCTCTTTTTAATCAAGGCTAGCTGAAAAAATAAATAAAAGTGAACAGGAACCTCCTTATCAGTTATAGTTTATATTTCTATTTTGTAAAGGAAAACTTGTTTTCAAACTTCATATTTTACTTTCTATGAGTGGGGCTTATTTAATTGTATTTATACAGAGTAGTGGGAGAACTTTTAATGTAGTGTATTAAAAAATAGATTTTCAGCAGAGAAACAATATTTGGAAACAAATGCGTAATTCCTCTCTTTTCTTAGCAGAAATAAAAAATAACGTTTTAAAACTTCCTTTAAACTTATGATATGTAGCATCCTAGTGTAGTTATATATTTTATGGCAGTGTTATCAGTATCAATTATTTGCCGTTAAACAAAATTTTCTAAAGGAACTTTTTTTTAGTCCTCATCATTTATACTTCAATAATATACCTCACATAATTAAAATTTTTTTGTGTCATTTATAGATATAATTGAATATTTTAACTGGGTAATTTATAATTTTTAATAGTGGACTTCTATTTTACTTTCTAGCTAATTCAAGGTACTGCTTGGTGGTGTGGAACAATTATTTTGAAATTTCTGACATCTAAAATCATGGGAGTTTCAGATCATGTAAGTGCTTTTTAGTAAAAACATAAATGTTCTTATAATTGTGTATCTGGAAGAAAACTTTGAATTTACCTATTCTTATTTCTTCATTTTATAGAGGTTAATTGCCTTCTTTACGATCTTTAAATTAGTATTGGCAGAATTGGTAATAAAATTCTGCAGTTCAGTGATCTTTGCAATTAACTGTCAAGAGGAAAATGTATCAATAAATACTGACTTAGTCTTTTAGAAAAAAACTAATAATTTGTTAAGTAGTTATTTTCTTATATTTCAGTTAAAATACAAATAGTTATTTAAATTATAAATTATTTATTGTGGATGTTAGCATATGAACATACTCTGCTTTGAAATATATGACTTAAAATTTCAATATAGTTTATTTATAAATATGGACTAAAATTAAGATATGGTTTGATATTTAAGGCCTTTCTTGATATATAAAAAGATACTGTTAAAAGTTCTATTATCTTTTCATTTTCTAGAAAATATATGTAGAGCTTTTATCTCTCATGGGGTGTTTCTGTTCGTTGTTGTCTTAAATAATAGTCCTTCCAAAACCAACGTTCCTGTTTAACTAGTTTAGAGAACAGAAAACAATGCATGAACTTACTTTTGATTTCTAACACCTTCTGTTTAGAAATGAGCATACATGAGTGCATCATATAATAATCTACTTTGAAATTTACCCTATATACTGCTGTCCAATTAAGTTAGGGCCTTGTCTAATGCTGAAATTATATTAACTTTAGTAAGGAATTATTCTTTTCTCTAAAAGGTTAGGTGCTATCATATCCAATATAACTTGCATTCATATTTATGTTAAATAATATTTCCAAATGCTAGCATTTGTTTACCATTTATTGTTAGCTTTGTGTAGTGGCTAATTTGGTTTATATGTTGCTGCTGTTCTCTGATATGCCTGATACAATTTTCCTTTTTTTCTTTCCTTATTTGTTGTTGTTAACTTTTTATTTTATAGGATATTTATTTATGAGACCTTCTATGTTATATATTTAATCTATTAAATTGGTCTGTGATTTTGTTTCTTGCCTTATTCCACATTGTCACTTAACTCTTTTGCAAATCTTATAGCATACACACACACACACACACACACACACACACACACACTTGCTAGTCCTAAGCGACTTCCTTTATGTGAGAGGTATCAGAAATACTTGAAATTATAGTGATTTGATTAGAGTATTCTAAGTTGCCAGGCCTAGTCTAAATTAGAAAAATAAAGTACAGCTCTGAACTATCCTTGAATATTGGTGGTTAAGAGGAATAATTAGTGAATAGAAACCACTGATAATCATCAAACGTGTTATAAAATAATTTCTGTCCCTATAAAATAATTTGAATTAAGATTCTGCATGCCAAATATTTTCCTTTTCCTGGCCTTATGAGGTTGCAGTGGAAAAAAATTGTCTCACTGATACCAGGTAGTAAATAACCAGTATAGAAAATAGACATTTTACATTGGTTTTGGTAGGCACTTATTTTTAAGGGTATGGAGATCAAATAAATGAATCAAAGTGGTATGTATAATTGTTATAATTCTTATGAGAATCAGCTCTCATATTTAATGACTTGAATATATGTTTTAAAAATGTTAAGTACCAAATATGAGGCTTTGTGAAAATGACAATGCATAGAAAACTTGTTTATGACCTACCTACACTGTATGGTGAAAGGAGTTAAATAAAATTGTTTTTTCATGATAAATTATTTCATTATAAAATCTCATGATTAACTGTGTGTGGTTTCTTCCCAGCAAGTACTGATTTTAGCTCACTCTTTGTTATTCTCTCTGTTTATTCTTTTCTGATGTCTTTTTACTTTTCATTTTTCTTGATATTTCTCTTAATTTTCAGTTGTCCTGATAAATCAGCACATAGTGTATGAGGGAAGACCCCCCCAAAATAACAAAACTTATTTATAAAAACTTGTGTATTCCTACATATTTAACCTTCAGTCACCTTCAAAATATTCCCTATTTGATGCAATACACCTATCAAGATGCCTTTTTTACTGTTCAAAACAGTTTTTCAACACGTCAATTTGATGCCTTTTAGTGCTTCTACTGTTTTTTGTTCCACTCCTTCCACATTGGCAAAATGTTTCCCTTCAAAGACTTTTTCATCTGGGGAAACAAAAAGAAGTCAGAGGATGAGATCAGATTAATAGGGAGGGTGGGACACAGAGGTTATGCCATTTTTGGTAAAAAACACAAACAAAAACAAAAAACAAAAAACTGCTAAACACTCAGTACAGAATGGGCAGGTATATTGTCATGGTGGAAGAACCAGTCACCTGTTTGCCACAACTTCAACAAATCATGATGCAATCTTCTCAAAACTTCCAGATAAAAGCTGATGGGTTCCTAGAACATGTCCCTACTGAGGAGAAGCCTGTACTAGAAGGGGCCCACCCTCCAAAAGATAATTCCATTCTTTTGGGATCCCCCTTGTATTTGACTCACTATAGTTTTTTGTCTTCTTTGAGGAACATCTATATACCTTGGAGTTATTTGCTCTATGTACTTCACTACTCTTATACTAAATCAGTTTTTACTGATAGTAATCACTTATGTAATTTTAATTCATTTTACTTTATTTTCTTCCAGATTCGCCTGAGTGATCTTATAGCAGCCAGAATCTTGAGGTATACAGATTTTGATACTTTAATATACACCTGTGCTCCAGAATTTGACTTCATGGAAAACGCGGTATGAATGCTTCTCTATTTTTTTTCTTCTTATAGGTATGATAAGTTTTTGCTTTTTAGTTTTTCTTCTGAAATTCAAAAATATTATTCACAAACATTCAGTTTATTCTATCATTTTTTACTCTAGCTTTTGCTAATCCTATCGCCTTCCTCACTTGTTTTTTTCATCAATGAAATAAATGAATAATAGTTTCTATCTTTTTTTATAAGTTTTTTATTTTATTTTATTTTATTTTTTGAGTTGGAGTCTCACTCTGTCGCCCAGACTGGAGTGCGGTGGCTGCTCCCGGCCACTAGAGCCTCGACCTGTTGGGCTCTGGCGATCCTTCCGCCTCAGCCTTCCAAGTAGCCAGAATTACAGGCATGCGCTATCACGCCCAGCTGATTTTTTGATTTATTGTAGAGATGAGGTCTTGCTGCCCAGGCGAGTCTCAAACCCGTGGGCTCAGGCAATCCCCTCACCTCAGCCTCCCAAAGGCGGGATTACAGGCTGAGCCACCAAGCCCAGCTAAGTTTTTTATTTTAAATATGTGGGGTACAATTCAGGGTTTGGTATACAAATGTTCATTATGCAGGTACCCTTGTTGATGAGGTGGGTCCCCTTCTCCCCTTCCCTCCCCTTCTCCCCTGGCAGTTTCCCACTACTGCCACTCCCGCCCCTGCCCTCCCCTGGCACTTTCTACTACTGTCAATCCCTTTTAGTATCACAATAGTTGTTCAAGGTCTGCTTATGAGTGAAAACGTGATACTCTGTTCTTTGTTTCTGTGATAGATCACTCAGTATTATAACCTCTAAGTCTATCCAAGTTGCTGCAAAGTTCATAATTTTGTCCTTCTTTGTGACTGCATGATATTCCATTGTGTATATGTACCACATTTTTTTATCGAGTCCTCTTTTAATGGGCAGCACTGTTGGTTCCCTGTTTTTGCTATTGCAGATAGTGTTGCGATAAGCATGTATGTGCAGGTACCTTTTTCATAGAGTGATTTGAGTTCCTCCAGGTATATTTCCATAAGGGGGATTGTGGGGTCATATGGGAGGTCGATTTTTAGATCTTTTAGGAATCGCCACATTGTTTTCCACAGAGGTTGTACTAACTTACACTCCTAACAGTGTAGAAGTGTTTCCTTGTCGCTTCATCCTCTCCAGTATCTGTTGTTTTTTGAGTTATTGATGATGGCCTTCCTAACTGGAGTTAGGTAGCATCTCGGTGTGGTTTTAATTTGCATTTCTTTGATGACTAGTGAGGCTGAGCATCTTTTCATGTATCTGTTGTCTGTTCATGTCTTCTTTTAAGAAGTGTCTATTCATATCTTTTGCCCACCTGTAATGGGGCTGTTTGTTTTTTTCTTTTCAGCATGTATGAGTTCCTTGTAGATCCTAGATGTTAGACTTTTGTCAGATATACAACTGTCAAATATTTTTTCCCAGTCTGTGGGCTGTCTCCCTGCTCTCTCACTGGTTTCTTTGACTTTGCAGAAGCTTTCCAGTTTGGTGAGATCCCACTTGTCTATCTTATCTCTTCTGGCATGGGCACTTGGGGTTTTGAACAGGAATTGGCTGCCAGTTCCAAGTTCCGTAAGAGTGTCTCCTGTGTTTTCTAAGGTTCTTATAGTTTGAGGTTTATGATTAGGTCTTTGATCCATTTAGAGTTGATGTTTGTGTATGGGGATAGGTAGGGATCTTGTTTTAATCTTTTGCATCTGGTCAGCTAGTTTTCCCAGCACCATTTACTAAATAAATTCTCCTCTCCCCAGTGGTTGGTGGGAGGTTTTGTTGAAGACTGAGTTGGTTGCTTCTGGAATCTCTATCCTGTTCCATTGGCCTATATGCCTGTTCTTGTACCATATATCAGGCTGTTTTGATTATTGTAGCTTTATAATAAAGTTTAAAGTCTAGGAGTGTGATGCCTCCTACTTTTTTTTTTTCTCTTGTGAATTGTTTTGGCTATTCATGGCCATTTATGTTTCCATATGAGTTCCTGTATTGTCGTTTCCAGGTCTGAGAAGAATGCTGCTGGTAATTTAATGGGTATTGTGTTAAATATGTAGATTGCTGTGGGTAGGATGGACATCTTAACAGTGTTGATTCTTCCAGTCCTCGAGTATGGAATACTTTTCCATTTGTTTGTGTCTTCTTGGATTTCTTTGAGCAGTGTTTTGTAGTTTTCATTATAAAGTTCTTTGACTTCTCTGAATAGGAAGATGCCAAATTATTTGTTTACTGTGTGTGGCTATTGTGAATGGGATTGTGCTTTTTATTTGGGATTTTGTGTTTTTATTGTTGGTGTATAGGAATGCGACAGACTTTTGCACATTTATTTTATACCCTGAGATTTTGCCAATGTTCTTTATCAGTGCAAGGAGGTTTTTAACAGATTCTCTTGGGTTTTTGAGATATAGAATAACGCCATCTGCAAAGAAGGATAACTTAACTTCCTCTTTTCCTATTTGAATACCTGTGATTTCATTCTTTTGTCTGATTGCCCTAGCTAGGACTTCCAATACTATGCTGAATAGCAGGGGTGAGAGTGGACATCCTTGTCTAGTTCTGGTTTTCAGGGGAAATGGTTCCAGTTTCTGTCTATTTAGCAGTATGTTGGCTGTGGTTTCTCATAGATGGCTCTTATTATTTTGAGATATGTTCCATCTATGCCTAGATGTTCAAGGGTTTTTATCAAGAAGGGGTGCTGTATCCTATCAAAAGCTTTTTCCATGTCTAATGATATAATTATGACTAATGATATATTCATTTTGTCTTTACATCTGTTGATGTATTTAATTACATCTATGGTCTTAAGGATGTTGAGCCAGTCCTATATCCCAGGGACGAAGCCTACTTGGTCATGGTGGATGATTTTTGAGATGTGCTATTGAGTCTGGTTTGCTAGAATCTTAAGAGTTTTAGTATCTATGTTCATCAAGGATATTGGCCTGTAGTTCTCTTTCTTTATTGGATCTTTACCTGGTTTGGGTATCAATGAGACATTAGCTTCATAAAGTGATTTGGGGAGAATTCCATTTTTCTCGATTGCCTGCAATACTTTCAATAGGATTGGTATCAACTCTTCCTTGTACATTTTGTAATATTCAGGTGGAAAGTCTCTGGTCGAGGGATTTTTTTTTTTTTTTTTTTGTAGATAGTTTTCTTATGATGTAGTCAATTTCCTGGGTTGTTATTGGTTTATTTAGGGTCTCGGTTTCTTCTTGTTTCATCCTGGGGAGGTTGAATGATGTCAGAAAGTCCTCCATTTCATTGAGGTTTTCGTGTTTGTTTCTATACAGGTGTACACAGTAATCTCTGATAATCTTTTGTATTTATTCAGGATCAGTTGTGACTTCATCTTTTGCATTTCTGATTGTGTTTATTTGGGCTTGTTCTCTATTTTTCTTTGTCAGTCTAGCTAGGGGTACATCAATCTTGTTTATCCTTTCAAAAAACCAGCTATTGGTTGCATTGATTTTTTTTATATTATATTTTTGTCTTCTTTGTCCCATATTTGGGCTTTTATTTTGGTGAGCTGGAATCTACTGCTGAAGTTAGACTTCTGGTGGGCTTACTTTCCAGATTCCTTAGGTAATTTGTTAGACTGTTAATTTGTGATCTAGAAAGATTTGTGATCTGGAAAGAAAATGGAAATTTTCTTCATGTGTGTTCATAGAGATATGAATTCCCCTCTAAATACTGCTTTCATAGCATCCCAGAGATTTTAGTAAGATTTTTCTTCATTTTCATTTGTTTCCAGGTATCTTTTAATCTCTGTTTTGATTTCCATGTTGAGCCTGGAGTTGTTTAGCATCATGCTGTTTAGTGTCCATGTCATTTCTTATGGAAATTTGTTTATGCTTGATTTATGACTGAGCTTGTGGTCAATTTATAGTATGTTTCACTTGGTGATGAGTAGAATGTATATCCTGTGGTTTTTGGGTGGAATGGTCTGTAAGTATCAATTTAAGTCCATTTGGTGAAATGTCACATTGAAGTTCTGGATTTCTTTACTGACTTTTTGTCTTGATGATCTGTCTAGGGCTGTTAGTGGGGTGTTTAAGTCCCCAGCTATTATAGTGTTGGAGTCAATATCATTTTAGTTTACCTAGAAGCTGCTTTATGAAAGTTGGTGCTCCTATGTTGGGTGCATATATGCTGTGGATGGATATTTCTTGTTGATGGATTGGCCCTTTTATCATTATATAGTGATCTTCTGAACTTTTTAAATTTTTGATAGCTTAAAGAGTATTTTGTCTGATGTTGAGATTGTGACACCTGCTTTCTTTTGTGTTCTGTTTGCCTGAAATTTTGTTTCCCATTCTTTTACTTTGAGTCTGTGAGTGTCCTTTCTGGTGAGATGAGTCTCTTGGAGACAATATATTGTTGCCTCATGATATTTTATCCATTTTTTCATTCTATGTCTTTTTTCATTCTATTCTACGAATGGTGCATTTAGTCCATTCACATTCAGGCTAATTATAGAGATGTGTGAGTTTATCCCTGTCATGATGTTCTTATAGAGTTTGTTGTTGTTGCTACTGTTTGTTTGTTTGTTGTCTTTCTTTTGATTTTGGTGTTGATTTATGGTTTTCAATCTTTTGATTTTGGTGTTGATTTATGTGTGTTTCATTCCTGCATTCTTGGGAAGGGCATTGACGTTCTTTTTTTCCTCTTCTGTTTTTAATATAATACTTTTTAAGTGTTTCTTATAGAGTATGTCTGGAGGCAGCATAAATTCTTAGGGATTGAATGTCTGGGAAGGATTTCAATTCTCTATCACTGATGAAACTTAGCTGGGTAGGTGATTCTTGGTTGAAATTGTTTATCTTTGAGAACTTTGAAGATTGGGCTCCAAGCTAGCCGGAAGTGTTTCTATAGGTAAGTCTACTGCTATTGTAATTGGTCTTCCCCGGTAGGTAGTCTGATCTTTCTCTCTTGCGGTCTTTAGGATTTTTTCTTTTATACCTACTTTGTGTAGGTGAATTACTATGTGTCTAGGAGTTTGTCTTCTCATTTGTTGTCTTGCAGGAGTTCTCTGAATCTGTTGTGCTTGAGTGGTCATATCCCTGTTGAGATAAGGGAAGTTTTCTTGGATAATTTCATGGAATGTTTGTGTCAGGGGGTCTGTCTCTCTATCTGCCTCAGGGATTCCAATTAATTCTAGGTTCAGCCTCTTGATATAACTGCTTATCTCTTGGAGGTTTTGTTCTGGATTTTTAAGTTTCTTTTCTATGTTTTTAACAGTTTGGGTTAGTTCTCTATTTTTGTCTTCAAGCTCCAAAATTCTTTCTTCTGCTTGGTGATTCTGCTTTCCATGCTTATCAGTTTGTTATTTATTTTATTCACTATATTCTTTATTGCTTTTATCTTGGTTATCAACTCCTTCATTCTTTCCTCTTGTCTCTCATCATTTGTATTTATATTCTCTATTAATATCTTGATATCTGGGTTTGTGACTTGAGACCAGTCATTCTGGGGACTTTTCATTGTTTGAGTTCCAATGTCTGTATTCTCAGTGCTGACCTCCCAGGGGTCTGTGTGAGACTCATATTCTTCCTTTGATTTTTCTTAAGTTGTGTAGGTTCCCCCCCCCTTTTTTAACCTCTTCTTTAATTCTGTTGTTCAGTGATGGAGGGATAGCTTTTATTTCTGTTTGTTCAATCTCCTTCCTTATGTAGATCCTCTGATTTTATTCATTTCTGAAGGTGGATGGCTATGGGGACCTGTGCTTTTTGCAGTTTTGAGATTTAATTATGGGAGGTGCTGAGATTCAGAAGCTATCTGCTGATTCCAGTATCTGGTGACAGGTATATGGGGCCCCTGGAACCCACTTTCCACTGCCTTATTATCAGTCCATGCCATGGGGGCATCTGTTTGTCCCCGAAAGCAAAATGAGATAAGAACAGGGAAAAGAATGGAAAGAGGAAGATGAAAGGGAGGTGGAGAGAGAGAAGAGGAAAAACATACCAACTAATGAATAAAGAGAGAGAATAAGACAGAAAAAACAAAAAAAGACAAAAGTATACAATTATACTAACAAACAAAACTCCCCTGTTGGTGTACTTTCCCTCAAAAATACCCATATATAAATGGAAAATCTAAAAAAAAACCATTGAAATGACAGAAACAAAGCAAGCATAAAAACGTAAACAAAAACAGAAAGAAAAAGACAAGAAAAAAAACTAAAAATAAAAAACAAAAAACCTCTCTCTGTGGCTGTTTCTGTGACTCTAAATTCCTTTCAGGCCTCTACCTTAGGGAGCAGCTCTGTTCTCTATCCCCTCCCCTCTCTCTCAGTGCAGGCTGATAGGGTTGTTGTCAGCATGGGTCAGGTGCCCCACGGACTACTGTGGGAGGAGAATGGATCAGATCCAGACTTACTCGCTGTGCTTCTATCAAGTCTCCCACTCAGATCTGACATGTCTGTGCCTGTTCCAGCATGAGGAAGGGGCATCTCTCTTGGAGTCTGATAAGAAGATAGCCTTTGGGTCCCAAGATGGAGGCTGGGTGGAGCAGGGTGGGGCAGTGCAGGTCTCTGCCAGGTCCTGCGACTGAGAAAATGGCACCAGTTGGCATCTCATCACTAGCATTGGAGCTTTATTCCAGATTTCCACGACCTGCCTTCTCTTGCTTGTGCCTAGTCTGCTACTGTAGGTGATGGCATGGGCCGGGTGCCAGGTAGTACAGAAGGGCTGTTCTCTGCTGCCTTCTCTCAAGAGAGCCCCAAGAATGACAGATGAACCTGTGGCCCTGGTCTCCAATCTCAGGGCGGTGGTGGGTTGCAGTTACCTCTGGAGGAGAGCCCCTGGTGCTTGAACCTGAGTCTCCCCTCAGACGGACTTTCACTCACCCACCGGTACACAACCACTCATGCAGAGAGTCTTTATGGACACTCGCTTTTGTAGAGACTGTCACAGTCCGACCTCTTCTGTTAACATCTTGCCTAGAAGCAATATTCTCTATCTGAAAGAGTTGGTGATGATGATTAAATGAGATAATCCAAGAAGAGTGCTTAGCATACAATAGGATTCAAAAATATTACTATCATTACAAATCAATTACTTTAAACAATCTAATCTCTTGGAAATATGAGACCATTCAAGAAAATAAAGCTCAAGTTCCTGTTTTTATGAATTTTATAACATTTACTACCTCAAATACGACAAAAATTTTTAACAAGGTGTTACCAAGAAAGGTGTATCACTAATGAATCTTAGTGAATATATGAAATTCACTTAAAATTATATGTGTGATATTATTTGTTTTAAAACTTGTGTTGCAAAGCTTCAAAATATTTGCCTCTTTGTAGAATCATGTTATAGAAGATCAAGAAGAGGTCTTAGAGACCATGTAGTATAATTCTTTCATATGTGGTTCAAGAAAAACTTTACAAATTTGCTGAAAGTACATACTGAAGCCAAGGTTATGACTTGGATTTCAGTGGATTTTGGAACTGCAAATCCATTGCTTTTTTCTCTATCTGTGGCTTAATTTCTTTCTTCATAGAACATGAAAAAGTTTCCACTGGATCAGTCCTTTTCTAATAGTTATGAATTATGAATTAGTGATAAATATAATAATTACAATTTTACATTATTTTCTTAATCCAGCCAGTCATCCATTCTTTAAAAAACTATTATTGGTGGGAATCCGCTGGGGAGGGGGGATACATCTCACCAACAAGGTTACCTGCATAGTGAACATTTGCATACCTAACCCTGATTGTACCTCACATCTTTAAAATAAAAAAATTAAAAGTTAAAAAACAAAACAAAAACTATAATTGACCTCTAATTATTTGTGAGGCAGTTTTCTATAGAGGTATACAGAGAAAAATAACCTGACTCCTGTTTTCAAAAAATATGTATGAGAAGGGACCCAAAAAATCCCAGAATTTATTTATAAAAATTGTGTTTATTCCTATTATTTAAACTTCAGTCACTTTTAATGTACTCTCCACTTAATACGATACACCTATTGAGACTCTTTTCCCACTACACAAGAAAGTTTTTGAATTCATCGATTTTGTTGCCTTTTAGTGTTTCTGCCATTTTTTTGTTTCACCTCTTCCACACTGGCAAAACATTTTCCTTGGAGGACTTTTTTCATCCAGGGAAACAAAAAAGTGCTCAGGGCGAGATTGGGTGAATAGGGAGGGTCTCCCATTTTTTAGATTAAAAGTGCTGAACATTCAGCACAGTGTGGGCAGGGGTACTCGTAAATTATCCATCATGAAAATGGGCAAATGTGTTAAAAGAATCTCCAAAGGAAAAAATTCATTAAAATTGAATGCAGCTTCTCACAGCAAGGTTAGCTAGAGCACTGATGCTGATGGGTTCCTAGAACACTTACCTAGCAGGGGAAGCCTGTACTACAAGGGATCCACCCTCCAAAAAATAATTCTGGCTTTTTGAGGGTCCTCCTTGTAATTTAGTTATATGGTAAATTGCTCCCTATCACAATAATAGGTCATCAGAATTATTTAGCTGATGTTATTTTTATACTTATTCATACTTTCATTAATTACTTTGGTTAGCTTTGTTTTCTTCTTAACTCTGTTTTCATTAATGAAAATAATGAAAATATGTAGCATAGAAAATGATAATAATGTAGGGCCCAGGGATCAGTAAACATACATTTTAAAACTTAATATTGCCGGGCTCGGTGGCTCAGCCTGTAATCCTGCGCTTTTGGGAGGCTGAGGTGAGTGGATTGCCTGAGCCCGCGGGTTCGAGACCCGCCTTGGCAGCGAGACCTCATCTCTACAATAAATCAAAAAATCAGCCGGGCGTGGTAGTGCACGCCTGTAGTTCCAGCTACTCGGAAGGCTGAGGTGGAAGGATCACCGGAGCCCAGCAGGTTGAGGCTGCGGTGACTGGGAGCGGCCACTGCACTCCAGTCTGGGCAACAGAGTGAGACTCCGACTCAAAAAAACAAAACAAAGCAAAACTTAATATTATATAAATGAAGAAAAATAAACCAAAAGGAAAAAAAATAACAGATGTAGCTAATTCTAAGTTTGATGGTTTTTTATTACATTTTAAAATACTTTTAAAAATTATTTTTATAATTTAATTCTTATATTAGATCATAGAAGTCAATAAATATATGTTCTGATAATGAGAAAGATATTTTACCTTTAAGAAATCTTATTGTGGCACTCAGTTTGACATAGATTTTTACTATTTTAATGTAAAATTCAATAAATAACTATTTTGAATAATTTGCTATATTTCAGACTCCACTGAGATACACAAAGACATTATTGCTTCCAGTTGTTATGATGATTACTTACTTTATCTTTAAAAAGGTATTTTTAAAAAATTATTTGTTTTTGTGTTCATCATAAGAATTATAATATATTAAAACTAATTGCCAGAATTTCTTCTTATTTTTAGGATGAACATTTTTCCTTTCCAAAAACTTGTTCTTTATTCAGACATTTCATTCATTTCATTTTCTAGCATTTTATGGGTTTTGTGAATAGCCACATTATAACAGGTATTCTTATTCATTCTTTCAAATGATATTTATTACTCATCTACTGTGTACCAAGGACTACATTAACACTGTAGATTCACTGGAACAACTAAAACATGGCCACTCCCATCCTGGATCTTGCGTCTTGGATTATAGTCAGGGTATGCAAACATTAAGTAGATAATCACACAAATGACTAAATAATTACAATTTTTATAGGAGCTATGAAAGAAAAGTACAGTGATAACTAGCATTTTTCAAATATAAATCTATTTTGAGTCAACATACACATGAGAAATTTGTATAACCACTTAAAAATATTTTCTACATTTTCACTGTTTTCATTACAAAATAAAGTACAATCTTAGTAAAAGAAATAATCTTTAAAATACCACTAGCAGATTTTCTTGTTCTGGATATGGTTTATGTAAAAGCATGGTTAAAGACAGTGGGTCCATGGATTTTTTTTTTTTTTTGAGTTGAAGTCTCACTCTATCGCCCAGACTGGAGTGCAGTGACCGCTCCCGGCCACTGCAGTCTCGACTTGCTGGGCTCCGGCGATCCTTCCGCCTCAGCCTTCCGAGTAGCTGGAACTATAGGCACGCGCTACCATGCCCAGCTAATTTTTTGATTTATTGTAGAGATGCGGTCTCGCCAAGTTGCCCAGGTGGGTCTCGAACACGCGATCCATTCACCTCAGGCAATCCATTCACCTCAGCCTCCCAAAGCGCGGGATTACAGGCTAAGCCACGGAGCCCAGCATCCTTGAATTTTTTTCAAGCAAATTTGAACCATCTTTTTTTGTATTGTTTACAAGTTGTCTTAGATTCATATGTATTTATCCCTTTTTTTTTTTTTTTTTTTTTTGGTGGAGTAATCAGAACACACAACGTTTATTGATTAAATTTGCTGTGATTCATGACACCCCAAAGCAATTACAATAGCAACATTAAAGATCATTAATCACAGATCACCATAACATCTCTTAAAAATGTGTATACATTTTTTGGTACCCCCGGGTATGTTGGAGAACACTTGGAAAAATTTCTAGTTCTGATATTCAAGTTGAACTTCTTTAGTTTTCTTTGAGTTAACTTTTTTTCTTCAATATTTCCATCATAATCCCAAACTTTCTTTGTTATTTGAAAGAAGTGCTTCTGAATTGTTTTTTAGGCAAGTTCATGGTGGTACTTGTTATCTTATGGTGTTGCATCCACAGGCATAAACACTGATACCTGTCGGCAATGACACAGCCCTGATTTTTAAGGCATAGCAGCTACCCAGTGTATTTATACTTTTAAGCAGATAACAGTAATGTGATTTCTCCACCACCATGCCAATTACGGTTCTGTTGAAATGAGTTTTCTGTATTTAAAGTCAAATTACATATCTTCTCTATGTAGTTCCAGTTCCCACGTTTCTCATTTCTTTCTTTTCATATAAAATGTGAATAAATTATGAGCGAGAAAGTCATCTCTCTCTACATCTCTATTGTTTCACCCTTGATTCAGTTCTCTAGAGACCATCTGGAAAGAGACAGTATAGAGGAAACAAGAAGGAATGGATAGAATGCAAACAAGTTTACTGCTCTCCATGCCCTCAGTCCTCCCTAGCTCAGGTTGAGGCTTTTCTCTACTGGCCCATTTCTGTTCCATTCTGGCAAAATGTGACATTACTCTTAGAGGGGCTAATGCATGGATTATCTATTCAATGGAGAGACAGCCAGTGTGGGAGAAAATGATAGCTAACTCTACTATTGCTATATTTATAAAAATTAAGATCCCAAGATTTACACATAACTGGTTCCCAAACACACCACAACCTAAACTATGCATATGCACTAGCAGACCCATGCACACTCATGCGCGCGCACACACACACACACACACACACACACATACACGCTCATCCCTGCAGCCATCAAAGATTCACTCCTTTTTGCTTCTTTATAGACCTCAGTCTTCATTTGTCCTATTGTGACTTCCCCCCTCTCCAAGATACTTCTGATCCTCACTTAAATATTCACTTATGTAAAAGTCTCTTCTCAGAAGGAGAAAAGGAAGTCATATATATAGTATGCTTTTCCTGCTCTTGAGGACTTACTTAAACATTAAAAAAAGACTTCTTTCCTGGGTGGGGGTGTTTATACTGATGAATCGGCATTTTAAGTGTCACACAAAAAGGTTTCATTGATTTGATTCTCTTCACAGACTGTTCATGATATTTTGTGTGTCTTATCTGCAAACACTTATCTAAGGTAATTATAGCATAGTTGTTTTAAAACACTTAAATTACTAAGTAAAATTATATATACATTTATATTCAAATTTTATGTGAATCATTAGATGAAATTATTAAAATTAAAGCATATCTTTTTTAGAGCATTTAAATTATTAAATAATTTACTGTAATATTAATTTTTCAAATAAGTATACATTAAGCTTTAGCATTATGATTTAAAAAGGAGATATGAACCAAACTTAGATGTTTCTTCAAAAAAACTCTTATTCTTATGGATTTATTTTTATGTATTTGGACTTGTTTTAGAGATTTTTATTTGTGAAGTAACTTAAAGTTTAAATTGGTTAATTTTAAGATATCATTAGAACTTAAGGTCAGTAAACCAAGTAAGCTAAAGTTTTATATAGGGCATAGTTTTCTTTTTTTAACTTTTAGAAAAGGTATAATTACTTGTTTTTCTGAATATTTGTGAAATGTTTTTCTGCTTTGATTGTTTAAACTATTTGCTGTATTATGTTTTTGGATGGTTGTAGTAAAGTCACTAGAGTTAAGACATAAACAGATGCTGACAAAAGTAACAGTATATATAAATCATATATAAATAAATTGCTATAGGACATAACAAGTAAATTGTGAAGAAAGCTTCCTTCTGAGGGAAATCTTAAATTATGTTTTATATTTGTAAATGCATTATTTGGTTTTATTTAATGTTTTTTATTTTTTATAACAATTTTAGATTTCAAGAAAAATTGTAAAGATAGTATAGAAAGTTTCTATCAATCCCAAACCCCATACTTGTATTTTTAATAAACAGTTTTGTATGGTTGTCAGAAGAGCTACTTAAGATCATGAGGTATGCGTATTTGGTAATCACTAACTGATAAATTATAATGATGAGAGTACCTGTTTTTCTGCATCCCCACAAACACAAATGTTATCAAACTTTTAATTTTTTTCTGATAGGTAAAACAATTTTTGTTTTATTTTATAATTCTTTATCAGTGAGGTTTTACATATTTTCATATGTCTGCTTACAATTTATATGTATCTTTGACCTTTTAAAAATTGATTTGTAACTGGGTGCGGTGGCTCAAGCCTGTAATCCCATTACTTTGGGAGGCCAAGGTGAGAGGATTGCCTGAGCCCGTGCATTCAAGATCAGCCTGGGCAACATGGTGAAACCTCATCTCTACAACAAAATTTTTTTTTTAAATTAGCGGGCTGTGGTAGCGCGCACCTAGATTCTGGTTACTTGGAAGGCTGCCTGAGCCCAGCAGATCAATGCTGGAGAAGTCATGAGTGTGCCACTGCACTCCAGCCTGGTGATGGAGTGAGACTCCAATTGAAAAAAAGAATTTATTTGTAATGTTTTGTGTTCTTTCATGACAGTAACTTTTTGTTTATTATTTGTATTACATAGTATCTTCCAAGATGTCAATTTATGGTTTTGGTCTTTGTCTTATAGAACTATAAAATTACAATTTTCTTATTTATATATTACTTAGAAACACCTCTCCAAGTCAAAAACATTAAAACATTTTCGGTATTTTTGTTCATAATTTTTTGTACATATAAAGCATTAATTACTCTTGCATAAATTTTGTAGTATGATGACATAGAAGAGTCTATCTTTTTTCCCCTAAAATGTGATATTGTCCCAGCACAGTAACGTATAATCTTATTTCCCATCATTTGAAATGTCAGCTTTTATCATTTACATTAATTCTCATATGTACTTAAATCTTAGATTCTCTCTTATGTTGATCTATTTGTTTATAGGAAAACCATTTTTTCATCACTTTTGTACCTCTCTGCATTATCAAACTTTCTTTACAATTTTAATAGTTTTTTTATTGATATTCTAGGTAGGTTATCTTATAATCTAAAAATAGTGATGAATTTTTAATATTTATACCATTTTATTGTCTTGTCTTATGTACTAGCTAGAATTCCCAGAGCAACTTTGAATTGCAGTGATAATGGCTTTGCCCTTATTTTGTTTCTGACTCTAAGATGAAGAATGCCTTTCATAGCTTGCTGTTAGTATATAATATAGCCTTTATTTCATTAAGGAAGTTTCCTTTTAGTTTATATAAACCAAAATATTTTTTATAATAAAATTAGAAAAAAATGTTGAAAGTGTATGATGTATGAAGTATTACTCAATAAAGCTATGAAAATGGATGTTTAATTTTAAAAACTGGTTTTAGAAATGTTTTGGGAATCATTTCATGAGTTTTATCCTTTATTAATAACTACACTAATAGGTTTCCTTTTTATTGTGGTAAGAACACAGCATGTGATCTGCCATCTTAACAACATGTTAAGTATTGTGAACTGTAGGTATAATATTGTACAGTAGATGTCTAAAACTTATTCATCTTGCTTAACTAAAACATTATGCTTGTTGATTAATAATTGCCCATCTCCCCTCATCCCAGCCCCCGGTAACCACCATACCACTCTTTGAGTCTATGAATTTGACAATTTTAGATACCTCATATAAGTGGAATTACACAGTATATATTTGTGTGACTGGCTTATTTCTCTTAGCATAATGGCCTCATGGTTCATCCATGTTGTCTTACAGAATTCCCTTTTTTTTATTAAGGTTGTGTGTGTGTGTGTGTGTGTGTGTGTGTGTGTGTGTGTGTGTGTGTGTGTGTACACTACATTTTCTTTACTTATCTGTTTATAGACAATTAGGGAGTTTCCACACCTTGACTATTGTGAATGGTGCTGCAATGAACATGGGAGTGCTGATATTATTTCTTCGAGATTCTGATTTCAATTTTTTTAAAAATAAATACCCAGAAGTGGGATTACTGGATTTCATGATAGTTTTATTTTTAATTTTTTATTAACCTCCAAACTGTATTCCATAGCAACTGTATCATTTGTAATTCTATTATTGTGCAAGAATACTAGTTTCTCCACATCCTTGGCAACACTTGTTGCCTTTTTTCTTATAATAGCTGCCCTGACAAAAACGAGGTGATATCTCATCATGGTTAGATCTGCATTTTCCTGATTATTAGTGACATTGAGTATTTTAAAAATACACTTATTGGCTATTTCCGTGTCTTCTATGGAGAAGTGTTTAATTCAGGTTTTTAGCCCATTTTGTAACCGAATTATCAGATTTTTTGCTATTTAGCTTTAGGAGTTCCTTATATATTTTGGATATTAATCTATTATCAGATATTTTTTACCAATATTTTCTCCCATTCTGTGCATTGTCTTTTCATCCTGTTGTTTCCTTTCTGCATAGAGACCCTTTAGTTTGATATAGTCCCACTTATTTATTTTTGCTTTTGTTGCCTGTACTTTTGGTGTTTTATCCATAAAATCATTGTCAAGACCAATGTCATGAAGCTTTCCCATGTGTTTTCTTATAGGAGTTTTACAGGTTCAGATCTTAAGTTTTAGTCTTCACTCCATTTTGAGTTGATTTTTGTGAATGGTGTAAGCTAAGGATCCAGTTTTATTCCCTTGCAAATGGATATCCAGTTTGATACCATTTGCTGGAGACTACCTTTTCCCATTATACAGTCTTAGTACAATTGTTAGAGATCAGTTGATACTATATGCATGGATTTATTTCTGGACGAGTCTCTATTATGTTCCATTGGTCTACCTGCCTATTCCATTGGTCTGTATTGTTTGAACACTGTAGCTTTGTAATATGTTTTGAAGTTAGGACATATGATGCCTTCCACTTTGTTCCTCTTTCTCAAGAATGATTTGACTCTTCGTGGTCTTTTATGGTTTCATATGAATAGTAGAATTTTTTTTCTATTTCTGCAAGAAATGCCATTGGCATATTGACAGAGATTACATAGAATCTGTGGATTGTTTTGTGTTGTATGCACATTTCAACAATATTGTTTTCCAGTCTATGAAAGTGGGACTTTTTTCATGTATTTATATCTTTTTAAATTTCTTTCATCCGTGTTTTATAGTTTTCAGAAAACAAGTCTTTCACCTTCTTAGTTAAATTTATTCCTAAGTATTCTATTCTTTTTAGTGCTGTTATAAATGGGGTTATTTTCCTCATTTTCTTTACATGCAGTTTCTTGTGAGTATCCAAATGCAACTGATATTTGTATGTTGACTTTGTGTTCTGCAACTTTATCATTTGTTAGCTTTAACCATTTTTGGTGCAATCGTTCGTGTTTTCTGTTGGCAGGATTACCTCAGAGACATTGAGTTTGGTTGCAGACCACAATAATAAAGTGAATATTGCTATCAAATGACAACATGAATTTTTTGGTTTCCAGTGCATATTAAAGTTTTATTTGCATTATACTGTAATCTGTGTGTAATAACATTATGTCTAAAAAATGTACATATCTTAGTGAAAAATGCTTTATTGCTAAAAAAAAAAAAAAAAAAAAAAAAAAATACTAGCAATCATCTGACCCTTCAGCGACTCATAATCTTTTTGCTGATGGAAAGTCTTGCCTCACTGTTGATGACTGCTGACTGATCAGTTGGTGGTTGTTGAAACCTATCGTAGCTGTGGCAGTTCCTTACAATAAAACAAGAATGAATTTTCCCATACTGCTTGTCTCTTCCTTTCATGAAAGATTCTCTGTAACATGTGATGCTGTTCGATAGCATTTTGCTCACAGTAGAACATTTTCAAAATTGAAGTTAATCCTCTCAAACTGCTGCAGCTTTATTAACGAAGTTTATGTAGTATTTTTAATCTTTTATTGTCATTTTAGCAGTGTTCACAGCATCTTCACCAGGAGGGGATTCCATCTCAAGACTTCAATTTCTTTGCTTATTCATCAGAAGCAACTCCTCATCTGTCTTATCATAAAATTGAAGCAATTTAGTCATATCCTCAGGTTCCACTTATAATTCTAGTTCTCTTCCTATTTCCACCACATTTGCAGTTGCACCCTCCACTGAATTCTTGAGCCCCTCAAAGTCCTCTCTGAAGGTTGAAGTCAGCTTCTTCCAATCTCCTGCTAATGTTGATATTTTGACCACCTCTCATAAATCACA